CAAGAAGACTTCCTGAGAAGTCGTCTCAGGAAGATACACATAAAGTTAATTGCAAAACTAACTTTTGCATTGACCAGAAGACTCTCGTTTAAGTCTTCTACATCTAGAAGACTTACACGGAAGTCTTCTGATGGATAGATCTGGAAAAAAAAATTAATTCATATCTTAAATTCATGAGAAAACTTCCTTAGCGCACATAAATCTTTCCAAGCATCCATAATCTAAACGAAAGCAATCCACCAAGAATCATGAGTTTGAATGGTTCTATGAACCTTAAAAAAAATTTGAATAAAATTTTTGGGTTTTTGGATGAATATAGAGATAAAGTGAAAGAGATGTTGTATTTAGTTCATAGGAAATGAGATAGAATGAAACAAAATCAATTTTTAGGTGCATTAAGAGTTACAAATTGGTTGTTCATAGTGATTAGTGTATTGATTGCAATAGAAATATGTAGATACATGAGGAAGATGAGGATGATTGAGTAAAATACTCGTTTTCGAAAAAAAAATAATAATAATGGCATTTTCGTGAATAATCCGAAGTTTTAGGGTGAATATGATAAGACAAAGTTCCAAAAACATGGATTATTTTTGTGTTTGACTTTGAGTTTTAAATCATATTTTCAAAAAAAAAAAACCTTCAAAATTTTAATATAAATGAAATTATATCAAATTTACTGTTTTGATATTTTTTGGAGTTAAAGCAAATTACACTACAACTTAGTATGAACGGTAAAAAATCAATGGTAAGATAAATTGACGAGATAATATTTGAATAGTATAAACTAGGCATGGGCATTCGGGGTTCCATTCGGGTTTTGATTTTATCCAATCAGGTCTCGGTTCTTCGGTTTTATCAAAATCAGTCCCATTCGGATTATTTGAAAGTGGTTCGGGATCGGTTCGAGTTCTATCGGGTTTGGATCGGGGTTAGTAAATCTCTAAAGAACCGGTTCAACCCGTTATATTTTCGGATTCAGGTCTCAATCGGTTCTTTGGTTTAAAAATACTTGATTTGTACCTACTTTGTAACCAAAACATAAGTAAAATCGGTTCTTCGGATTTAAAGTACTTAATGTGTAACTATTTTGTAACCAAAACATAAGTAAAACTGATTCAAAAATAAGAAAGGAACATCACACTTGATCATTCAAAATCAAATGAAAGGTAAACATATTTATTAATAGAAAGAAAACCAAATAAATGAAAGCATAAAACGAAAACCAAGTTCTTAAAAAATTAGAAACATTATTCAATAATAGCAAAACCTTAATCTAAAAATTTCAAGTTTCAACCGCGACCTTCAACCATCAACCTTCATGTAATAGATAATTAATTTTAGATGTTTAGTAATATCTTAAAATATCTTGGACATATATTAGGAATTAAGATCATGTTCGGTACACGTTCTTATTAAAAACTTTGAATGTTTCGGGTTTTATTGGATATCCATTTAATTTCGGGTTCGGTTCGGATAATACCCATAAACCGAAATACCATAAAAAAATATCTAATTAATATGTAAATCGGGTTTGGATCGGTTCGAGTTTTTGGGTTCTGTTTATTTGCCCAACCCTAGCAGGGCCATCTCAATTCGATATTGGACCCTGAGCCTAATCAATATTTTGGGAAAGTTGTACATGATTATTAAAATTTATAGTCTATTATACAAATTCTCAAATTTAGGGCCTTAACTAGTAAAAGAAATGTGATAGAAAAAGAGTGGGCCCTGTCCTGAAGCACCCTCAGCAGTCAGCACTCCCTCTAAGCCGGTACTGAACCCTAGTATAAACTATAAAGACTAATCACATGACATGAAATGCATGAATCAAGTTAGACGTGATGATAAAGATTTGACGACTTGACCTGGTCTTCTAGAAACTGTATGTATTTCGCTCTATGGTTTCCAATTTAGTGATGTCATTGATTCATTTAACATGCTTTTTTTGTGGACTCGTATTAATACAGTTTCATTTAACCTTATAATTCTATTTTCTTAGGCACAATACAAAGTACTCTAGCTACTTTAATGAAATAAATAATAAAATTGTAATAATTCGTTTTCCCACCGATTTGTTCTCTTATCAATATAAGAAATAGATTTTATTTCGTGAAACACAATTGATTAGCTACTTACGAAAAGTCACGACCCATTAATCCAACTTGGACGCAGCTCACAATATTTATAATCTAATGTCAATAAAAATTAAATAAACATATATTTAAAGCACGATTATCTGGTGCTTTAGCAGTTAAGCAACGCTTGACTACTCGGAGAATTCCGATTGATCCAACTTGTTCTGTTTGTGGTAATGGTTCGGAAAGTATCTGTCATGTTCTCTTTACATGTGATAAAACACGAGAAACATGGGAGCTTTCCAATTTTCCAGTACCATTAGGAGGTTTTTCTCGGAATTCCACTTTTTTAAATTTTATGCATTTGATCAAGATTCACAAGAGCCCCTCTACGGATATTCATACAAGGAATGTTTTCCCATGGTTGTTATGGGAAATTTGGAAAGCTAGAAACGCTTTCGTCTTTGAGTCTAAGAGGTTAGAAGCATCTTTTATTGCTAGTAAAGCTTATGAGGAAGAATCCACCTGGTTTGATACTTTCACTGATAGGAAGGATGGAGGTAGTGAGGTTGCTTCGGAAACCATTAAATGGAAAAAACCACCTATGGGTTTCCTCAAATGTAATGTTGGATCTTCGTGGGTGCATTCAAGCCATATTGCGGGTGCTTCTTGGATCCTTCGGGATGAAAAAGGGTCCACAATCTTACATAGCCGTCGTGCTTACTCATGTATGCGCTCAAAGACAGAGGCAGATTTGTGGGCTCTCTTTTGGGCAGTCGAGTGTTTGCATACTCTACATTTCTCGAAGATTATTTTCGAGACTGCCTCTGCAACCCTTCATGATGCTCTTACCTCGATGATTTATCTTAGCCTCAGCCATATTCGTCACAGCATTTTCTTCCTCCTTGCAAGGATTGATTCATGGAGTTTGGATCATGCCCTTCCCGAACGCAATGAAGCTGCAGCGGCAATTGCTTTGAGCGTCACACGCGATCTTCGTCATCAATCCTACATCGCCCGTAACGCTCCGGTGTGGCTTCATCATCTACTCGCTTTGGAGGCTCAGTAATGAGGTTTGATTCACCCGGAATGGAGAATCCCAATCATACGACTCCCGAGATGCACCGGCTTGATTTCAACATTTACTCACTATGGAAACTCGGCAATAAGGGGAGTGGGTGAGATTTTCTTTCTTTCTCTTTGTTTGTGTGATGTCTATTGACATCCAATTTAATTTCTGAATTTTTGCTTTGTATCACAAATTAGTACTACATGTTGCAAGTGTTATAAAAAAAAACATATATTTAAATAATCATTGTCTTTTCTATTTTATTAAATTACTTCCTAAATCAAATTCATGTGGTCAACATATGTTCTAAACTGATTTAACTAAATTTTAGAAAAATTCAAATTTAAAACATTTTTAATAATATAATATAGTATAATATAATATAATATAATATAATATAATAATTTTCAAGTATTATATAAACTCCAGACATTTAGTTTGTAATGCTTAATATATATATATATATATATATATATTTTAAAATTTTGAAATATATGCTTATCCATTACCATTAACTATTTTGAAACAATAAAATATATCTATGTTAAAATTTAACTATTTTTGAATTAATTGTAGAATATATGAATTTTTTATAACACAATATTCATGTTAATCTATCTAAATGTTTTCTAATATATATACATATATATATATATATATATTTCAAATATTTCTAAAATATATTTTTATTCATTTCAGTTACTATTAATTATTTTTAACAATAATTTTATCTATATAAATTTTTAAAGAGAAAATGACTAGGATATCATTAAAAAATTTTTTGTCACAAATATAACACTTAAGAATAAAAATGACCAAAATAACACTTAATATGTTATCAAAAGAGATAAATATACACCTATACCCAATGATAAATTAATTTAGACATTAGCATTTAGAGTTAAGGGGTGAGATTTAGGGTTTAGGGTTTAGAATTTAGGTTTTAGGGTTTAGAGTTAGGGAGTGGGGTTTTGGGGATAAAATTTCAATTTTTGAAAAATAAAATTTTTTAAAAATTTTCAAAAGATAAAATGCTATTTTGATCATTTTAATTTTTAAGTGCTATTTTTGTGATATAAACTTAGAAAGATGTTATTTTGGAGATTCGTCTATTTTTAAATATCATACAATTACTTGTAGAATGAAATATTCATTAGGTAATTATTTTTTTCCAAGATGTAAACTATTTTACTATGATATTTATAAAAAAAATTAAAAATGATAAATATTTAAAATATTAACTACTAAACATTTAAATAATATGTTATATCTAAAAGTGAAAATAAATATCCGTACGGGCGTGCGGGTCAAGCTATAGTAGCAAGTTTTAATTCATGAGTAGGTCTGAAAGTAGAAAATATATTTAATTTACAACACTGTATTAGAACATTTGTCGTTCAAAAAAAAAAGGTATTGGAACATTCCAAGCATCGTTGAAAATTATTAGGAAAATGAACTGATTTTTGATTTACTAGGATTGGAATTCAACTATGTATATGTTTTATTTACTAATATAGTTAAATTTCTCAGTCACTCACAAATGTATTTTTGGCAGTTAAAATTTAAATGGTAGGGAAATGTTTAAGTTTAATCATGTTTCTTCCTCTTGAGCGACGAGGAAGTGTCTCTGCATGGTCGTGAATTTTAGTTGGTAAACTTTTACTCGATGGAGTTTTCATTTGATGGTGTTCTAGCGAATGATATGTTTAGATCTATTTGAGTTTTTTAGGAGAGCCGATCATCAATACTCAGTAAACACTGCCAAGGGAGTTACAATGGTGGATATGAAGGAAAAAAGTTGAAAGCTGGTGTTAAGCCTTGTTAAATGAATGAATCAACGTTGACAAAAAAAGGCCAAATAGTATGAACTATAAAGCTTTAAAGACAAAATATAATGAAAAAAAACAGAAGTTTATGTACAAATGTTACAGACAACTTTTATAACCAGAAAAAGAAAAAAAACATAGCATGCGTTACACAAATAAAGCCCGTAATTTAATGTTTTTGTTCATCTTCTTCAACACACAGTTATTAACAACATTGAAAAATCAAACATGAACCAAGTTTTTTTTTTAAAAGAGTAGTTGAAAGATCTCTCTGAAAATTACCTTCATAATACTTGAGGTCATAGCTCAGTGTTATTCATGGTAGCAGTATCTGGATGATAATGTACCATTTCTTTCCACATCAACTCTCTTATCATCTCTGCCCCCAAATCCTCATCCTCGTCTACATCAAGATCAATAGGAACTTGAGCTGGAGGATTTGCATTGGGGTCATATAAAGGCGCCATGTAAGGATGCTGAAGCGCTTCGGTGACACTAATCCTCTTCGAAGGGTCAAGAACAAGCATCTTCTGAAGCAGATCAATGGCTAGAACATGAGCATTCGGGTAAAGACGAGAAAATGATATCCCCGGTGAGTAAGGGAGAGACTCTATGTATCTTTTGGCTTTGGGGTTATCGATAAACTCGAGATCTTCCTCTCTCTGGCTCCCCAAAATGTTAATGATGAGTTTAATCTGGTTAAGACATTCTGTACCCGGGAATATCGGTTTTCTTCCAAGAAGTTCGGCGAATATGCAACCTACCGACCAGACATCGATGGAGGTTCCATAGTTGTCACAACAGAGGAGAAGCTCTGGTGCTCGGTACCATCGAGTCACAACATATTCAGTCATGAACTGACCTTTGGTGTTGCTCGTGCGCGCGAGACCAAAGTCACATATCTTTAAGTCGCAGTTTGCGTTAACAAGGAGGTTACCTGGTTTCAAATCCCTATGGAGAATGTTGGCTGAATGAATGTACTTGAGTCCTCGAAGCAACTATACAAAAAAGAAAAAAGAAAAAAAACAATAAGACAAAGAAAAATGATGTTGTGAACAAAAGCGGATCAACTTTGAAGAAAACAAAGAAACTTAGGAGCAAAAAAGAATTGAGGCAAATACCCATTTAAGATTTGTATATTTATTATGTGAATAAATAAATTTACAATCCTTTATACCTGTATTTATAGTAGCCTTAAAACCCGATTTTTTTCATTTCTATATAGGAAAACGTCCAAACCCAATGAATGCTGGCGTTTTTCTTGGTACACCGAAATTTAAAACACTTGTAGAATTAACACAACAAGCAAAACCTCATACCTGGAACAAAAAGTATTGGCAATGATCATTACTCAACACTTGAGAAGACTTGATAATCTGGTGAAGATCAGTGTCCATGAGCTCGTAAACAAGATACACATCCTTAAAGGTTCTTTTTTGATTAGGCATCATTACATCTTTAAGAGCAATGACATTGTCATGACGAAGATGACGTAGAAGCTTGAGTTCACGAAGTGTCCTCAACGCATCGATCCTGTTCTGAAACACATTGTGGATCTTCTTGATGGCTACTCTCTGGTTAGTCTCTCTGTTAACAGAAGAGCAGACTACACCGTAAGCGCCACGGCCAATGGGTTTGATGGGAACGTATTTGGTGTCGATCTCGAAGAGTGTTTGCCACATTGAGAAGTAGTGCTTTCCTTGGTTCCTAACTCCATTTGGTGGATCAACCGGAGTCGCCATTCTTCCTTTCCGACATGTTATGTAATAAACATTTTTAGAAACAGAAAAAATGACTATAAAGGACACGTTTCTTGAGCTTGAAAGATCAAACTATGATCCCTCTTTGATCTTAGAACTCTCTAAGCTCGAAGTTTATCTGTTAAAGGGGAATTCATGAAACTACTGTTTCGGATCACTCGAGTTACTATTTATTTTATCATAAGGTTCGTTCACAACAGAGCAGGAACTAAAAATGAATCTTGATCGATGTTGAGATTGAGCTCGAACGATGGGAATTTGCAGAGAGCTTACCAAGGTGAATGTTGGATACGAGTCAGATTCGTCGGTGGGGAAGCGACGGTGGCCGGTGAGATTCGGGTAGAGAGAGAGAGAGAGATTTGGTCAACGTTCTGACCGTTGACTCTGTACTTCCTCGTTTATTACCATTTAGAGGTTAGTGTATCTCTCATCTTTCATTAATCCTACTTACCTTTATGAGTTTGGGCTTTGGTAAGCCCTATCTGATTTGCAACATTTACATATAAGTTCTATATTAAATATAAGTTGACAGAGAAGAGCACAAAGTGGACGTGCCGGAGTGGTTATCGGGCATGACTAGAAATCATGTGGGCTCTGCCCGCGCAGGTTCGAATCCTGCCGTTCACGGTTTTAAAGTCCTTTTGTATTAACTTGTTTTTTTGCCGAAATGAACACAAACGTAAGGAAACGTTTAACCGTAATAACTGGATGTTTAATTTCGGATTGGATCTATTTTACAGTTTTAGCCTTCCCGCTATAGGAACATTAGTATTCAAAGGCTCAAAGCAAGACCTTTTACATAGTAGGCAGTGTTTTGTACGGTTTCTTTTGATTCAGATCCGATTTTAATGAATATATATGCTTAATATCTGAATAAATTTGAGGTGTTATATCGTTCTTTAAGCTGAAGACATATCTTGTTATATAAAGCTGTGTTCAGTTTCCAGATTCACTATATTGGTTGTTTGGTTTGAAATCTTTGATTGAACATGACTAAATAACTTTAGGGGTATAGTAATAACTTGTTGTACATATACAAAACCATTATCAGCTGTAATCAAGGAAATAAATCTATTCATTAGAACAAATGAACTAAACATTAACACAAAGATCTGTTTCTGCTACTGAGATTTCGGATTTTGAGTGGTTGATTTCTCCATTTTGGATATGATTTCATTGTGAAAACTCATTAGAGACTTCTGCCTGGTAGCGAAAGTGAAGCTGATTTGCTTAATCTCTTCTTCCATCTCTTTTCTTCTCTTCACTTCCGCATTGAGATCTTTCAAAGCATTTTCTTTATCAGATGCAACCATTCTCAGTCTCTGAGTTGATTGAGAGATTGCTAAATCTCTTTCTTCCTTCAGAAACTGTACTTCTTTTTCCAGCCTCTCACGGCTCTCTCTTGAAGCTTCTAGAAGCTGTTTGTCCAGACACAACTCTTTCTTTAGATTGACATATCTTTCCTTGATGATGTTGAGCTCAGACTTCAGTTTCTCCTCCAAGGCAGATGTTATTTGTCCCTTAAAATTACATTCAAAGCCTGTCTTACATTCAAAGCCCTGATAAAATTACATTCAAAGCCTGTTTCTGCATTTTCCTTTAACCATATTGAGAGATTCAAGCGAAGCTCCGATGAGGCACTCAATGTTTATGTCTGGTTATAACTATAGCTTCCAAAAATGTCAACACGTGTCCTGTGGAACGCTGAGGACATAGTTTGATGAGACTTTATTACGCTGAAGGAAAGGATAAACAAACATTTATGATACACATTTTTGAACTTTAGCTCAGTATGCAGCAAACCCTTTTTGCTATTTATATGCAGATTATCACCGTAGAAAGATTGCCATTTATTAGATTTATAAAATATACATAGGCGTTCACTGGACTAAAGCCCTGATAAGAGAGGCAAAGTATCCTACCAAAAGTGCTGAAAAGATGAACAAAATTGATCCATATGTTGACGATTGTGACAAGGAAGCTACCTTGTTGTGGCAGTTCAGAAACTCATCTTTTGCTTGTGTTTCTGACACCAACGACGTGGTCGTGTTCTTCAGACTCACACGGAGTGTTTCCCATTGATCAGATAAAGGATGAACTACGATGCTACCCGCTCTCTGACCATCTAAAATCAATGAGAATTGTGATTCCAGAGTTGAAAGAAGGCTCGTTGTGATTTCAGTTGCCCCAAATAGAAGCTTTCCTGTTGGAGATTCCTTCTCAGACATTAAGCTCTAACCAAATGCAAGAAAAAATATCTTTAGACTCAAAGATCTTTTTATTGATAATCCCACAAGATAAAGTAAGATGTTCACCTTCATTGTGACTATAACATCCTTGTAGACATCCTTGCACTTAGCAAGTGACTCGAATAACCGTTTTGGAATTGCTTTCATGTGAAGCGTTTCTTGTTTGAGCTCAGAGATCCCTTCCATAAGTTTGTTGTTCAGAACTACTTGTTCGTTGAATTTAACCTGAGAATACATAGTTGATGCACAAATAATCATTATCACTCCAAATTAGTTGGTATACAACATATCAACTGCAGTTCACAAAAATAAGAACTAAATAGTAAATCAATAAGATAGCAAAGGAAGGAAGTAGAAGGAAAAAAGATATATATATATATATATATATATACTCTATAACTAAAATCAAAAGTGCATTTTCACTTAAATAACCAATAAAGATTAACCTGCAGACTGTCCTTCTCATTAGTCAGCAACTCAATCTGACTTTTGAGTTTTTCCACCTCTTTGTTATCTTCAAGCGAGGATTCCTAAAAGAAGTTTTACGGAAATATCATGGCCAGTTTAGTGTACATGTTTTAGGTGCTGAATTTCTCACCATAGTGTTGTTGAAAATCATACGAGCAGCATACAAATTTGGATAATCTCAGGGTATTCATCTATACGAAGTTTCAATATTAGTAATTCTCACAGCATATATGAGATAGATACCATATGCATCCAGAAGTCTCTACTCAATGCGATTCTGTTACTATTGGAAGATAAAAAGAGTAGAGTATATGATCTACTCACCATGGTTGCAGTAGTTAATGGAGTGGGTTGACTTCTAACTGCAGGTGTAAACTGGAGTTTATCAAGGTCTGCAACAAAACCTTTGTTTAGCTTCGTCCAAGTGTCTTCATCGGCCATGTCTCCAAATGAATGAACCATCGGACTAAAATCAGACAGTCCTGCATAATTTGACCGAGCAACCACAAAGGAATGCTCAGCTGATTTAAAGCAAGGAGTCCCAGGAACATCGCTGCTATCGTTGACATTGCATAACCCTTCTGGTATCTTTCTTAAACTGATATAGTCCTGCCAATAAAGATGTTACAATGTCAGGTTTTTAACATAACCAAGAAAATGAGTCCACTTCACTAGTTCAAAAGCAATAATAACTTCTTTAACAAAACTGATGACATGTTAGGAGTTTGCTAACTAAAGCCTATTTCTCTTTTTGAGGTTGTATTTACTTCAGAAAAATGTACGAGTGGAATGGTTGAGGAATATCATGCACAAGTAAGATCCAAGAAAAGATTGTTAATGAATCTATACCTCTGACTGATTCCTCTTGAAGTCTGAATTAGTGACAAGATTCTTTAAGTTCTCAATTTTCAACTGTTGATCCTTAATGCACTGCTCCTGCTCCTTTTGTTTCCTTCTCTCTTCCTCCACTTGTGTTTTTAGCCTTTCACATTCTAACTCATACTGGAAACCAAACAAAAGGGTGAGCTGTATTGTATTCTGTGTCTGCTCAGTGTTATATTCAAGGCACTAGAAAAACGCGCAAAAAACTACCTTGAGCATCTGATTGCTTAACTTCAATATCTCTTGTTCCAACACTTCAGCATGGGATCCCTACGAAAATTACTAATGTTAGCATCATCCTCACTCCAAGATGTAATCGAAATGCAAAGTTGATTATACCTGAAGCTTCATACGTAACTCTTCTATCTCTAACTTTTGGCGCTTCAATAAAGCAGCATCAGTCAAGATCTGGAGCATTTAAACAGCGTCAGATTATCTTTAGATAAAGAGGAAGAAAACTACTTAACAGAACAATATATAGAATTACAAAATGCTTTAAATTTCAAACCCAGACCTCATTCACTTGAGCACAGTTGGTGATGCGCTTGGCTCTGCTTGCAAATTGGAGAGTTCCTTTTGATTCCTCAATATGATGCTACACACATGATCATGCAACTTTGATAAGTCAATTGACTAATCTTGCGCATGAAAATGCAAAACCTGACATCAATAAAAACCTCCTTTTACCTCTTCTGGTGCGATAGTGCATATGATGCAAGTCTTTGCATTACCACCAAGCGCAGGCTGAAGAATTCGAGTCAGCTTACTGTCTCGGTATGGAATATGTGCCCTATAATCAAGTATGTCAAAAATGAGCTGAGCTGTATCGTTGTTAAGTGTAGCCAAATAAAGAGTAAGAAAATACCTTAGCTTTGCACTCTCACTTAGCTTATTGATGACGTTCCCAAGAATCATTAAGCTCTTATTAATATACTTTCCTTCTGTCAAGCGAACTCCACCAGCACCAGTTTTAGCAATTCGCTCAGATCCAGCCAAGTCAACCAAATTCTAGATTGAATTAAAAGAGCACCCGTAAGAGAACAAGTAGCTTTTTGTAAAGTGAAAATAATCACTCACCAAGACTGAGACACGGATCGCATCAGAAGAGTTATTTTCTTTTCCCCTGCTCTCAATCACCTATCCCACCAGCGAGATTAGATCATAATGATTACTTAAGAAAAAGTAGAAGATTCCATGCATATCTTCCAAAAAACCTTACCATTCTGAAGATGGTGTGGGATCTGCTACTGTGAACGTTCATGTTAGTCTCCCCAAAGTGCCTATTAACTGTTAGTTAAAGAAGACCATGTAAATACACATATACATAATCAAGATTCAAAATGCAGGAACAAAGAAATGCTTCTTAGTTTAGCTTTGGGTTAAAAACCTTCTCCAGAATCTAAAAGCTTCAGAATCTGTTCAGCGTCACTGACAATTTCTTCCTTAAGGCCAGCAACAAAGACTCCACGCTGTACATCAAAAGGAAGCAAGTGGGTTTAATCACTCTAAAACAAAACTAAAAATGAACTAACACTTTCAAAGATTCTACCTCCAAATGTTCATGGATTTGCAGTCTCTGGTTCTCAACAGCTAAAAGATCATTGATCTCTTCATTATAAATCTCCATGTAAGAAACTCGGATGAGAAACTCACGATCAGATATCTAGAAACAAAGAACAGAAATCAAAAGTTGCACTCTTTTCTTTTGTAAAACACACTGATCATTAGATAGACCTGACTCCTACCATTTGTATTCTTTCAAATACATCCCTCACAGATCTGCGAATAATCCCCGGATCAGTCTCAGAACCCGTCATTGTAAAGGTCTTTCCACTACTAGTTTGCCCATAAGCAAACGCAGTACCTGAATAAAATCACAGAAAATCAAAACTATGAAAGCAAACAAAAAAATCTACAGAATGCATCAGATTAGATTACCATTGAAACCCTCAACGGCTGCTTCAATGATCTCCTTGGTGAGAAGCTCGTAGACGCAGGCATTCGTAGACCTTTCGTCGAACACGTGATCTGCAAAAACACAAACACCGCAAAAACTATAAAGACGAGATTTTGAAGCTACCCAGATGAATAGAAACCGAAACCCAGAATAATTGATACCGAAAGCGTAAGAAGCGGTAGAGATTGGGGTGTCGAGAGACTTGTAGAGAGAGATTCGATTGTCGTCAACTTTCCAGAGAGAAGATCCGTTTTCCGATGAAGATTCCGGCGTCGGTGGCCTCACTCTGACTGCTACGCAGATCTTCTCCATCTCCTTCTCAAATCTGAAAGTGCCGTTTGAATTTGAATCTCAAATGGATACTAATAATATTGGAATCTTTATCCCTCCCAAAAACGAGATCGCTTGAGCTTTTGAATGTAATTAAATTTACAGTTATATCCTTACATTTTTGGAAACAAAATCGTCTTTTATTTCTTTGTTTGATACTCAAATCAATTTAGACATAATTGAATAAAATTCAAAGAACCGTGCACATGCTAAATTGACATTCACATTGTTTAGACGATTAACACGATTTATGCATCAATTAAGTATAATAAAAGATATTATTCAACAAGAGGTGATTTGTACAGTGAAATCTCTATAAATTAATAATGTTGGAACTACACCAAAAATTTATTTTTTTATTAATTTAAAGAGATATTAATTTATAGATATACTAATTGAACCAAAAACTCATTTTGGGACTATAAAATTATATTAATTTATAGAGATATTTAGTGTATATTAATTTATAGAGATTCTACTGTATTTTTTTTTTTCACAATAGATAATTTGTATTAAAATGATAAAACGATTGTTATTCAAACATGCGTTTTTCTAAGGGAAAATTGGAAAATTAGGACACTCTCAACTTGGATTTTTCCCTATAAGATTTTTAGAAATTTTTTTGGGAAAATAGGATTTTCAAATCTGTTAATACCATAATACCCTTAAAACTAATCAATTAAGTGGAATTATAAATTTAAATTATAAAAAAACAAAACAAAAACAAGAATCAGGACACATGGTGTAGAGGGAAAATCGATAACCCTAATTTTGTTTTACATCATCTTCTCCACCGAGCTCTCTCCCATGGCGATTCCACCTTCTCTCTGACATAATTGTCTTCTGAAATCTTCATCTCTCACCTTCTCTAACCTTTCCGAGTCATCTTCCTCTTCCATCTCACCGAAGAAACAACAAGAAAGAACAAGAAATCCAAGTCTTCTTCCTCAACAATTTTCGTCGGGTCAATTCCGAAATCGAAGTGTTCATCCATCAATTTCGTCATTAGCTTCATAACACTAGGTATGAGAAAAGATGATAAGACATCCATTCACCGGATTTAACATAGATTAGAACCATCATGTATTGATAAGAAGAAAAGATAAAGCTTTTTGATGTAAAATGTAGAACACACAGAGAAAACAGAGAAAAAGATTGTGAGGAAGAGAGAAAATCGAGGACAAAATATTCTCTAAGATATTTAAGCAACATCTTCAACCGAATATGGAAGTTTCCATATTTTGCGGATTACCTAGAATATGTATACTACCTAAGGCAGAACACAGTAGAAAATGTGGGAAACGTATTCTTTCTCAAGTGTCACATAATGTAACATGCAAAATTGGTTATGGCACAAAATCTGGATGACGTATGTCAATAAGTTATGGTTATAAATCGTTATCTAGCTTCACGTACACCAAAGACAAATGCCTTGATTATAACGTTACCAATACTACCTTGGTTAGCATAGACAAGAAATGTTAGATTACGTTTCATACCTCGGGTCTATCTAGCAAGAACACCCAGTATATGATTTCTAAACTGAGTAGATAACTAGAATGAGTATTCTACTTGTAGCTAGAAGATAAAATAAAATATGATTCTACTTTTAAAAAATAAAAACTTAAACATATATGTTGTCATACTTATGTTTTATAGCCTTCTCATATTTTTTTTCTATTTTTCAAAATTAGTTTACTATTTTTTCATTAATAAAAGGTAAAACATGTCCAGAATTGCCAAAAGTATGAGAAGTCCTCTATGAACAAATAAAAGTTCAAAGTGTCCTTATTTTCCAATTTTCCCTTTTTCTAAACACACGGCTGCAAACATATGAAGGATCTAATGCCACATCTTGATCAAACATTTGGAAGGATCTAATCTATTAAAATAGAATCTTATTATTTATCTACGGTACAAAGGTTGTAACTTAAATTTTAAATGGTCCAACAAGAGATTTAATAATATCTTAAGCATTATAAATAATTCAAACTGATTGATGATTCAATGTATTTTCTTAATAAAATCTGATTAATAATTCAAAGACTAAACCTAATATTTCTCGGACTAATTTAAACTGAATTTCACAATGATAGGTACACATACTATATACATAGTTAGCATTGTCAAACAGGCCGTCCCGTCCCGTCCCGTCCCGTACCGCGGCGGGCTTGACTTCTTGCGGGTCTCTGCGGTCTTGTCCCGCGCGGGCTGCGGTCTGCAGAAGGTCGGCCCAATCCCGCCCCGCAGCATTGTACAGGCTTATACGGGCCGTCCCGCGGGCCCAAACGTCGAAGTTGCTACAGACTGCTCCAAGTTCTTCCACGGCGCTTCGGGAGGTGTTAGAGCTTCAGGCTTATGCATTCAATTTGCTATTCATTCTCCTCCATCGACAATAGATGCAAGGCTTATGCATTCTATTTGCTATTCATTCTCACAAAATGTTCTATAAAAATACATTTACATTCTTTAGAATGCATGTAGAATATAAAATGTAAAGTCTGAACCAAATTTGAAATTAGAAAAACACCAATTCAATGTATTCAAAACAAAAACAAAAACAACTTATAAAATGAAACTTCAAATTGTAATAAAGTAAAACACCAAATAAAAAAAACATTTCAAACATGCTCCTCTTCATCTTTAAGCCTCATCTCCTCCATCGACAATAGATTGAAACGAAGGCAATTTCTCTTCCTCACCATCAGCAGCAATTTCTTCATCTGATAATATAAAAAATATTTACTTTGAATTAAGGATAATTACTGTAGAATCAATTAAATTGCTTATTCTTTACCATGTGCATAAGATTCATATCCCTTGATCCAGTTTCTAGTGCATATTAGAGCTTGCACATTTTCTGGAAGTAGACGGCTCCTATATTTGTTTAGCACTCGCGATCCAATACTAAAGGAGGACTCCGAAGCCACTGTTGTGATTGGAATACTTAGCAGATCACATGCCATTGCAGCCAAATCACCATACCGATGTGCATTATCCTTCCACCAATTGAGGATGTCCAAGCTCTCAAAATTAGTGATGT